GTCGTCGCTGTTGTTGTTGTTACTGTCGTCGCTGTTGTTGTTGTTACCGTCGTCGCTGTTGTTGTTGTTATTGTCGTTTTAGGGGTACCGATCAAGGCGACAAGCATTACAGCAATTCCCATACCAAGAAGAAGAAAAGCAAGTAAAGACACAATCAAACAGACAGGTGAACATTGGCAGTGAATGTATTTAAAATAGCTAAATGAAACATTTTTAATAGTTATTAAGAAAAAAATGTAAAACAATTATTTACCGTTTCTTTTTATTTCTGTTCGACGTTCGGTGATGAGTATCCTGAAAATTCACTCCATTTGACCATAAGCCAGTTGCCTGAATTGATTTAAAAGATGAATATAGCTAAAAGAAAAAGGATAAATAGTTCCATTTTGGTTTCAGTTTTATCATCGAATCAAACAAAATTATTCATAAAAATAACTCAAATGCAAATATAATCTATTGGGACAAAAATAATTTTACACTTGACTAACAGAAATGGAAATACCACCAAGCCTAAGTCGCTTTAGTTTTTACCAATAAATACTTATTGACCATTCATTATCTTTCTAAAATATATTCTCGAAACTGGTCAAAAAAATAAACTGGACACGTAAACTTCAAATTTGGAGCGCACTTACGCATCCATGTTTTGCGAAATGCATACAAAGACAACATACGGCTGTTAAAATCAATAACAATTTCTAAAACTGTATTCATATTAATTATTACCCACGCTAATTAACCTATGATGCAAAAGTTATTGCCGAAATCTCCAGGCATGATTCTCCGCTCAAGAACACTATAGAAGGATCATTCTTTTCTCGATTGAAAGAGCAAAGTCTAAACTTCAAAATGCATACAAAACAAAATTATTTGGAGTTAACTTTGAGCGAGAAAAAAGTACCAGATCGAACGTCTCTAAAAAACACTGTAGCAACACGAAATTTTTTTAAATATTTTTACTAGAACTTGAAACAAAACGTTTTCGTGAACATTAAATTAATGAGAAAGTAGTCCGTGCAAAGCTCTATCGATTTCCCTACTTCAGAAAGTTTCTCAGTAACCCTTTAACAAGAAATAACGCTCATTATATGTCTTAGTTTTGATATAAAGCACTACTTTGCATGAGAAACACGGGACATTGAGCAAAGTTCACTATTAAGAACTCTAAACATGTTAATAAAGAATAAAAATAATTTGAATTTTGTAGAAAATTGTGCGCTGTTTCAGAAAATGTGTTGTAGAAAAAGGAGGGATTTTCGCTCAGGACCTGAAAATCATTGATTTTGTCTAATGACCAATTTTTTTTGATACTAATAAAAAACTTGTGATATTCAAGTCGAAAAGTGAATCAAAAAATAATATATTATATCCCATTTGAAAGAGTGACAAAAGTACTTCTAGTTACTGTAATTATATAATTTGAAACCCATGCTGTGATAACGAAAAGTAGCTTTGATATGCGAGATACGTTTGAATAGAACAGTGAGTTGTAAGAGCTTTTTAAGTTATGTTTGATATGGAATTTTTTTCTCACTCAAAGTTAATTCCAAATAATTTTGTTTTGTATGCATTTTGAAGTTTAGACTTTGCTCTTTCAATTGAAAAAAGAATGATCTTTCTACAATGTTCTTGAGCGGAGAACCATGCCTAAAGATTTCGGCAATTACTTTTGCATTGTAGGTTAGTACTCACCTTAATTAATATTCAGCCTAATTACTGCAACTCTTAATTCATACTCATAAATTTATAGGAGCCAACCTATGAAGGTACCCATAGGTTCTCAAGGACTACTATAGGCGGTACCGTTTTCTCCCAAGTCTTACTACTGGAAGGTACTCGTGGGTGCTCAAGTTCTAATCTTAGATGTACTGGTGTCTCCTGAAGTTCCCCTGTACAGGAATTCCTTCGATCCTTAAATACTATTGTGCATGAGTGTTCCACCCTGTTTGGGGACTATTCCATTCC